CCACACCTTTGAGGTGGATGGATTATCTTGGCAAAGGAGAAGTGCTCACTAACACAGATTTAGACAGATTTGTGAACAATATTTGAGAGAAATAGGCCTTTTGTGTACATAGAAAAAGTCTTAGATCTTTGAGTTCAGCTCATGAAAAATGGGGGCAAAAACAAAAGTGTTGCGTTTATAATTTTGTTCAGTGTAAAAACCCTTTTTTTCATCAAATATTGTTGTACAAGCGTTACATTGAAGACATCTTTGTACTTTTCAGGGAGATTTAGGATCTCTTAAGTTCTTTCACCAGTACCTGGATTCTTTAACAGATCACCTTAAGTTTACAATGTCATTTAGTGAGGAAACTTTGGATTTTTTGGATGTCCGTATCACTAAGTTAGGACAATCCCTGAGTACAGATATCTTTAGGAAAAAAACAGATAGGAATATTTTTTTACATGCTCACAGCTGTCACCCACCATCTCTCAAGAAAGCTCTACCTGTGAGTCAGTTGCATAGAATTAAGCGTATTTGTTCTACAGATCATTTATTTGAGACAAGAAAAAGTGAAATGTGGGAAAAATTTAAAGAAAAGGGCTACAGAGATAGTTGGTTTGACTCTGCAGAGGATAAATTAAAAACAATTCAAATGGAACAATTATTGACTCCTGCTAATACAACTCGAAATATTGAAAGAAATGTTTCTGTTTATCACCACTTATACGCCTCAAGTTTCAGCATTTCGTAATATTATAAAGAAACATTCGTATGTTTTACAGTCAGACCCAGATCTTTCTAAAACTTTTAAACATCCCCCATTGATTTAATTTCGCAGAGCAAAGAATCTGAAGAACGTTTTGGTTAAGGCTCATGTATGCAAAAATCCCTCAAAGCCTCCACCATTTATAATTCCTCCGGGTAACTATAAATGTGGAAATTGCACTCAGTGCCAGTTCACTAAAAGGTTAAAATATTTTTCACATCCTAGAACAGGTAAAAATATATGTATAAAAAGTGTCATCAACTGTAATTCATGTAACGTTATTTATGCTATACGTTGTCCATGTGGATTGTTGTATGTGGGTGAAACATCAAGATAATTGAGAACCCGCATTTGTGAACATCGTAGTGCCATTAGACATGGGGAAGATAGTAACCCTGTAGCACAACATTTTAAAGAGCATTCACATTCTATTTGTGAGTTTTTTTACTTTGGCATTGAACAAATCCATTCAGCAGGTCAGGGAGGAGATATTGATGTGAAGCGCAAATCCAGAAAAACCTTTTGGAATTTTACTTTAAACACATTGTTTCCCAGAGGTTTGAATCAAGAAATTGATTATAGTTCATTTTGAGAAAAGTACTTTTTCTTTATATGGATACTTATGCTAAGCTTGTATCTTTTGATTATCTTTTTTTTTTTTTTTTTTTAAAGTGTGATCTTGAACTTGTATTTTTCTCTTTTTTTCTCTCCCTAATCTTATTAGGAACTACCTCTCAATCAGTAGAATTAGTGGAGTTGCACACCTGTTGGTGATTATCAGACTGCACATAACTGTGTGAGATTGTTACCCTTGTTATCTGATGAAGGCCTTGGACGGCCAAAACGTCATGTTGTTTTATTAATAAAGCTTGAATTTTGAAGAGTGAGTGTTGCACCTATGCTCAGCTCATATGTTTTTTGATTTTTGGTTGCACCTCCTCTTCTGTTGGTAGAGCACTGCAATCAAACTTATAGCAAAATTTGGTAGTTCTGTATGTGGTTTCAGGGTTGGCATCATCTGAGGTCCTCTGAGGGGTTGGCATCATCTCTTCTCAGGTGTTCTGGATCCAGACTGAAGCTTGTGTAAATCCTAGTTACCACCGTCCTGCCTCTGAAGGAACTCAGGCAGTTCAGAACTGACTGGGCGCGTTCGTTGGTGAGACGCACCGTCATGTCGACCAAGTCCAACTCCATACCGAGAAAAGAGATTCTCGGCGAGGGGGCAGAGCTTGCTCTTTTCCCAGTTGACCCGAAGCCCCAACTGGCTGAGGTGCCGGAGCACCAAGTTCCTGTGATCGCACAACTGTTCTCACGACTGGGCAATGATGAGCCAGTCATCGAGGTAGTTGATGCCCACTTCCCGTAAGGCGGCAAGGGTGCTCTCCACGACTTTGGTAAAGACACGGAGGGACAGGGACAGCGCGAAGAGGAGGAACGGTCTGTGTCGAGGAAGAATCGAGACGTGAAAGTACGCGTCCTTCAAGTCGACTGCTGCAAACCAATCCTGGGGTTGGATGCATCTTAGGATGCGCTTCTGTGTCAACATCTTGAACGGAGGCTTGTGAAGGGCCCGCTTCAAGACTCACTGATCCAGGATTGGTTGGAGGCCATCAGTTTTCTTGGGCACGATGTAGTAAGGGCTGTAGAACCCCTGCTTCTTCTCGGCTGGAGGGACAGGCTCGATTGCATCCTTCGCCAGTAGCACAGCAATCTCTTCGCACAGGACAGGGGATCTCGGACTGCCACCAAAGTCTCGAGAACGCCGCTGAACCTGTGGAGTCGCCTGGTGAACTGAATCGCGTAGATGAGTCGAATCATCCGAATGAGTCAGCAGGACAGGTTGGGTAGCGCTAGTCACGCCCCCAAGCTCCGTGCAAGTGGCACCAAAGGGACAATCGACATACCCGCGTTGGTGCAGCAGTGGGGAACCCTGCTGGTCGGTCAAGAAGGCAAAGCATCCTGGGACAGACCTGGCAGACAGGATGCCACACTGACAGGATTCCGGAAGTCTGGCTAGAGACGTGTGAGGCGTCTCCGCGTTCTCGAACCATGGTCTCTTGGCCACTGGTAATAGGGGGCATCGTGGGTTAGAGTGAAGAACCCACGCTGTCAACCCACGAGCCATATAACACGGAGGAAGAGGAAACTGCTCTTTTACTGAAAATGTGGGTACAGAACAAAATGTGGAACAGAATGAAAAGGAAACAAGATTCTCCGCCCGGCCCTCCGCCGGGGAAAGGAGTGGCGCTGTTCCCGCCATCTCCTGGAAAAGAGCAGCTCCCGTCATCTCTGGGTTTCCATACCCCCTAGCCGCCCCACCTCTGAGGGTAGTGAGGACGGAGGAAGTCAACGAGTGGCTTCTGGCCGTAAAAGGGGTCTTCCACGACTTTGTGACATCCTCATGCACCTCCGGGAAGAAAGGAACCGGGGCAGAACGCAGTTGTGAGCCGCACCCCACGCTGAGAAACCAATCATCCAGCCGTGAGCGCTCAGGGCTGGGCAGTGTGTTCACCTCCAGCCTGAAGCTCACGGCTGCCCAAGCAAGCATAGCCGTCAGCTCTGGGTCTGATTTGGTGGAAGCCACAACACCCGAGGGGGGCAGCCCCGCTGAATCTGATCCTCTGGCGGAGCTCTGAATGAAATGTTGGGATCGTCATGAGATGGCCCAGCAGAATCACCTGGAAGCTGCACGGCACAAGCACTGCATGAGGAGTGAGAGGTCCGTGGGGACTGGCCCAGTGGATTTGCTCTCACTGTAACTCTCAGATCTCCCAGAGCACTAGCCGGCGATCCCGTTTGAAGCAGAGAAACCGGGACGGGTAGTGACAGAGGGGTCTCGTCCTTTCCTCAGAAAGGAGAGACGCGATCGCAGCGTTGCCATGGTCATGTGCTCGCAGTGCGGGCATAAACCATACACGAACGCATCTTCAGTGTGCTGTATGCTCAGACAAGGAAGACAGCGATCGTGACCGTCATCAGAGAACAGAAAATGACTGCAACCAAAAGGACACGGACGGAATGGCGTCTTTAAAAAGACACAGATCGTCCGCGATTTGCTCTTTTAAGAAAACTGCTCTTTTGTTAATTGAAGCACCCAGGGGAATCACTGCTCAATAAAGGGGGACACCGCTGTTGTGCCGTCACACCAACCCAGAAAGACATTCGAGGTGAATGGCTTTGTATTGCAGTAATAAACAATACTCGGCTCCGAAGCGAAAATCTGAATGAGTGGATGCACGCCACCTCCTTATATACCCGTATGTACGGGGGAGTGGTTGGGCATGCAAATTCCACTCGCCAATGTTCATTGGCCTGTTTTTTACTACTCAGAGGTGATTGGAGCTCCCAAGGAAGACCCCTAATGTCGTCATGACATAACTCCAGCAGATAGGAAAATTAAACTTAGCACAGAAAACAATCTCAGACAGTGCATGAGTACCAAATAGAGTTCTCTTTTGTGTCTTCTTGCACTTAAATAGTTTAAAATCACTTGAATGTCTAAACTGGCAAGAAATGATAAACTTAAGTGACAATGCAGCACTGACCTAATGGGACCAGAGACAATTCCATCAGCTCTCCCAAGCATCTTTCACAATGGCCTCTGGTCATCAGGCAGTCCTACTGTCAAGCCCTAAAAAGCCCAATTACTGTACTTCTAAATTATGAAGTTTTTAGATGTAAAAGTCTCAGGAAACATTATAAAAAAATGCATTTCACGACCTCTTCTAATTTCTTTTTGTGTTCTAAAAAAGAAAGTCCATACAGCTTTAGAGCAATACCAAACATCAATTAATGCAGCATGAAGAGTAAAACAGACTCACAGTTGAAGAATTTAAATATATAGCTAAGTAACTGTTAGCCCTTTACTTTGAGATTAATTAAGAACTGTTCAGAATAAAAAATAAAAATGTCCATGCCTTTTCATCACTAATGATTTACTGCGTGTCTTTAGTAAATCCTGCCAGTAGTTTTTTAATGGCAAAGGAGGGTTTGTGCTGACCAATCTGGTCGCATATTTTGAGACTGACAGAAAATTATCAGATAATTTAAATATTGAGATTAATTGTAATCAAATTTTATTCTAATCCCAGGCCTAAATTAAATACTTGTTGCAAGGTATTTGGCAGAAATATTTCTGCAATTTTCATTGATATTTTGTAACTTCAGAATATTAAAAGAGCACAGGGGCTATATGAAGTAATGTAATGAGTTCAGTGATCTACCTCTTGTGAGATGGCATCCGGCATCGAGCAGGAGGGCAGATTTTGTCTGGTTTCCTCCATGTTGTTATTACACTCCAACTGCATGTTCTCCTGCTGTCCGCAGTGCTCTACCATTGACTTAACCTCTGACTCTATCTTATGATTGTTCTGTTGCACCACAGTCAACTTCTCAATCACACCACTCATCTCCTCCATCTGATTATTTTTAAAAAAAGTATCACACTAAAATCATGTTGACAATATCCTCATTGCTTAAATAACCTCAGATAATTCTCTTGGCTTACTAGAGTGATTTCTCCATTGACGAGAATGGTGTTGAACTTGTTGAGGTCCTTCATCTGCCTGTTCAACATGTCAGAAATGTGCTTTCTCTGTTGTGAGATCACTTCATGAATTTGAGCAAACTCCACCTCCAGGTCCATCAGACTTGCCTAAAAAGAAATACAGATGTAAAACATTCTGTGTTGGCAAACACACATTATTCACTGCATCTATTACTTTGTTTTATGATAACATAACATGCATCACCATCTTATTTCTAAGCTGCTCAGTGAGCTGTTTGTTATTGATGAGGCTGTTTTCCTCCCCATTCTGATTTTTCTGGTCATAGCTGACCATCAGTTCCTCTAGTGCCTGCAGAAATTTCTGCACTTCAGTTTTGGTACTCTCACTCTCAGTCTGCAGGTGGCCCAGTTGTGTCAGCATTGTATCACTGTTACCCAACATGGACTCCAACAACTGCAACACAAATACACACACCTGCACATACACACACACACACACACACATTATAGCATATGATATGTGGGTGAATAACAGTGATTAATATTAGCTAGCAAAAGTTAAAGTTAAACAAGACAATGCTATAGATATATAGATTACACATGAGCTCCCATTGTGCTGAGTTTCTTCATCATTGCCACCCATTGCCATCTTTCCTATTAAAAAAAAAAAGATGTCTGTCAGTAAATCTTTAAAAGCAACAAAATATCAATAATCAATCAATTCAATAAAAGCGAATGAAACCAAGTAAGCCAATTTGGACACTGAGTGTGGGTGCATTGTGGGTATTCACTAGCCGTTGAGTGTACATCAGTTGTACACTCATTGTATTGAGGTGCATTATGGGATTGAATGAGTGCACTCGATAACGTCCACTATGGTTTCGAACGCCACTACAAATGGCTGTCACCTCAAATAGTACCCTGTTTAAGGGTATAGGGGGCAATTTCAGACACAGCCTAAATTGGGTGTGTCCAAAAAGGGAAACATCCAAAATGTGCAGTAGTGGGAATCATCCAGGACAAGTTTGGGAAGCACTCTAGCACAGTGCTTCCAAACCATGTTCCTGGAGTACCCCCAACACTGCACACTTTGCATGTCCCCTTAATCAAACAGACCTGATTCAACTCATCAGCACATTAATAGAGACTACAAGACCTGAAATGGGTGTGTCAGATGAAGGAGACATGCAAAATGTGCAATGTTGGGGGTACTCCAGGAATGTGGTTGGGAGCCACTGCTCTAACGTAGGTCTAACAATTCAAAAAAGCGCAATATACAACTAAAATAACTCCAGTTTTTATACATGACAACAAATGACATTTGAAATATATGTAAACTGATTTTGTCTTGATTACAATTTGCTAAACTTTTTTGTAAATGTACACTGAACAAAATTATAAATGCAACACTTTTGTTTTTGCCCCCATTTTTCATGAGCTGAAATCAAAGATCTAAGACTTTTTATATGTACACAAAAGGCCTATTTCTCTCAAATATTGTTCACCCCCCCGGACCCCCCAATACAGTAAAACTGCACATTTTAGAGTGGCCTTTTATTGTGGCCAGCCTAAGGCACACCTGTGCAATAATCATGCTGTCTAATCAGCATCTTGATATGCCACACCTGTGAGGTGGATGGATTATCTCGGCAAAGGAAAAGTGCTCACTAACACAGATTTAGTCAGATTCGTGAACATTATTTGAGAGAAATAGGCCTTTTGTGTACATAGAAAAAGTCTTAGATCTTTGATTTCAGCTCATGAAAAATGGGGGCAAAAACAAAAGTGTTGCGTTTATAATTTTGTTCAGTGTATTATTGAAGGAAAAATCAAAAGAGTAAGCAGTGTTAGCATTAATACCCTTTTGAAGTGGAACTTTAATGCTGCGTCATTGTTGATGCTATGGGAATTCCTCCATTCTCTCTCAGAGTAAAGAATGCTTGGTCAGCTCTGGAGTAAGCTGGCTGTGCTCACTGTGACATGTTCAAAGTGAGGAAGCTACACTCCCGCCTGGCTCTTTTTAAGAGGGATGGGAGCCAGGCGACTGCAGCCCGCGGTTTGGGTCCCACTGCTGCCGAGGCGGCTCGCTGACTCTGATTGTGGGGCTTGCAGGTAGAGCTTGCCAAGGAGCTTGAGATGGGCCTAGCCCTTTTTCCAGTCTTGCTTGTTAGCTTATTAGCTCTACTGAGCATGCTGTTGGCACGCCATAACTTTGAGAATCTAGATGTGATGGGTTGAGGTGGATGTACAGAGCAATCCTCCTCAGGGGTTGGCTGAGCATGGGTGCATAAGCATACCCCAGGTGGAAGAAGCACTTGCAAATCACCTCTCCCCTGGTGTGGCATCCTCATGGAAGGATAACATCTAAGCTTGTGGGCGTATGTTGCGGTGGGCCAGCCTTGTGGGGCTTTGCACACCATGGGTGTGCTCCCAGCCTACCAAGCTGACCTGTTGAGGGACCACGACAGAGGTGAGAGACTGTCCCAGAGACCACACCACAGATTTTGCCCTCCACGCCACCAAGCAGGCGGTCTGCTCCATCGGCCACTCACTTGCTGCCATGGTTGCCACGGAGCAGCATTTGTGGCTTAACCTGTCTGTGCTAAAGGAGAAGAACAGAGCCTTTCTCCTGGACTCCCCAATTTTGCATTCAGGACTGTTTGTTCCTGCCTCAGAGGAGTTGGGTTAGAAACGACCTTAGGGATGTAATAATGGATAAGCAACAGCATAAGCCAAAGCCCTGAAGCCCCACTTATTTTTCCATTCCCCAACCCTCCCCTTCTCCCCTCACACCTCCGTTAGAGTAGGGGTGTTGGGTTACAATAGGTTGTTATATTGGAAGTATATATATTTATATATGTTTATTTAAAAAGAGGGGAGAGAGAGATATTTGTTTCTTCTTCTGAGATGTGAAGCACTCTCCCCCAAAGAAGATCTGAATATTTTTGGACTTCTAGGGTGGTTAGATTCAGATAGAGATAACTGGTCCTCTCTGACTAGGGGGAAACATTTGAAACAATTAGCCTGAACATATTAGAACTGGGCAGATAAACCAGATACACTTAGGGGGTAGTTGAGAGAGGTTCTGCAGTGCCCTGGTTCTTCAGTGTACCCTCTGGTGTACTCCATAGGTAGTAGTCTATTGGATGTTTGGCAGCTCATGTCCCCTAGGAGACCTGTTTATCAGGTAAAGCATTTCCCCTGGGGCCTGTGGTGAAGGTCTTTTAATAAGAGGGCCCCTTTCTTTTTGGGCCCCCCTCTGGTCAAGATAGTAAGTATTTACACACTTACTGGTTTAACAAAAGCACCTTTGTTAGGGAGAGTGGACGGATGAGACAGTGATGTTTTCTCCTGTGGCCTCTTCTACTTAAATTCATACTCCCCTCGGCTGGCTTGCCTGTTAAAGTGGCCACTCTCTGTGCTTAGTGGAAATTAGTTGCTCTCATTTGGTGTGGTGAACTGAGAGCGCAGGGTGCTGGCAGTCACCCCACTCTTGTTGACCCCGAGTGTACCTTCACTGTCACTCTCTGGGAGACTTCAGTGTAGAGCAGACAGTTGAGAGAGTGCTGCTCTCACCTGAGGCCTCTTCTAGGCCCTAGGAACAGAATGCTTAATTTAGGCTCCCCTTGGTTGGACTGCCCAGCAATGCTTAGGCTGACAATTGTATATGGACGGTATGGAGCTGTGGACCCGCAACTCTGGCTCCCTAAGCACATGATCATTGGTGCACTGTCTACAGCCTGGCTCACTTGGTGGCACAACACAGTGAGCGGGCATCGTTTAGTATGGCACAATGGGTATTAGCGTTTCCATAGCATGAACAATGATGCAGCAGTTCTTCTTTGAAAGGGAATTTCAGGCTTAGTGATAGTGGCACCTGGTGGCTGAGGTTGGTGCTGCATGCTAATTGTTAGCTAGATATTTTTTTTACCCTATCTTGCCTCTTGAGGAAAAAAAATAAGAGAGAGAGAGAGAGAGAGAGAGAGAGAGAGAGAGAGAGAGAAGTTTCTGGAGAGTGAGTTTCTGGAAAGTTTTTGGAGACTTGAGGGTTGTGTTCTTGTCTATAAAATCCATGAAACAGTAAGCCAGTCCATTTAACTTTAGAATGCTCACAACAATCTGGGAGGAATTACACCACCAAAGTATAGATTCATCAGAATGCATGAAGTCTGTGTATGAGCCTCACCATTGTGCCAGTTTCTCCGCTCCATCTCCAGTGTCTGGATTTTGTTCTCCAAAATATTGTTCTTCTCCTTCTCTTTCTCATATTTCCTTTGCCACTCATTAGACGTCATCTTGTGGTTAATAAAGGCTGTATTTTTTATTCTCTTTGCACTGCAGCACACACAGAGAGGTCTCAGTCTCTTTTGACAACATGTTTCTATTTAGAGTTTCACGACCTAGGGTGCGTTTCCCAAAAGCAACTATGGTCACAAGTTCCGACGTTTAGCAATAGAGTTCAATGGAACTAATGACCATAGTTAGGTAACAATGGTTATGGGAAATGCACCCCTGAACAATCAAATTTATTAATATGAGCACGTAAAAGACAACAGTGATTTGATGAAAGAAATCTGCTGTTAAACAGTTATAACCAGTTACAAAGATCTGAAGGAAGTAGCAGTTCTATTCCACACGTTTAGAAAAAAATATGTCGAAAAATTGTGTTGTCAGTGTTGTGAAACCAGGGACAAACAATGAAACAAACAAGTTTTTCTTCATCCGTGCAGATGAAGAAAAAGTCGACTAAACAGTATATTTGAAGAAAAAAAAAAAGCCTCCTTCACAGTAATTTCTGAATGTTAACAGCATTTTGGAGGTGATGTGTCCAAGGTAGCAACACAGATAAAAGATGACATTGCAATACTGAAATTAAATCCATTTCATGAATATGAAAGTGGTTAATTACTTTATTATATATTTTTTACATATTAAATTGCAATCAGTTTTTCTTACATTCTGCGTTTAACACATTACATACTGCTTCTCAAGCATAGCTGACTGAAAACAAGCCATGTGCTGAGTAGCATGGCAACATCAAAGTGGCTCTGAGGCAGTATTTTGTTACGTGATACGTGAGTATTGCGATATTTTGTTTGGCAATACTGTATCGATTCTCAAAACTGGAATATCGATATTAAAATAATACAAAAATCATACAAGATTCATGGCAGTTTTGAGTTCATATCCCGACCACTAGATAGCAGTCTTCATCTCTGAACTTAAACAGTGACAGGAAATACTAGCATTAGTGCACGCCTGTCACGAATCCGGTCCGTGGCCTTCTGGCCGATTGCCACTAGAAGTCATTCTACCATTACATTGACTCTCACACTACACAGACTGTTACATGTCACTCCGGACTACAGTTCCCATCATCCATTGCACTTACACAGCTGAATTCACTGATCACACAGCCGTCACTAATCACACGCTCACCTGAGAGCCATTGCACACTCTATTTAACACTCTCTCAGTTCCTGTTCAGATCGCCGTGTATTGTTCTGCGTTTAACACTCCCTAAGTGTTAGCTGCTTTACCGAGCCATTCCGTGTTTCTGTTTAGTCTCTAGTTTTGTTTAGCATTTATCTCTCCTCTAGCAATAGCTACATCACTGAGTCATTCCTTTTCCCATTTTTTTGTTTTAGTCTTAGTCTAGTCTTTCCGTGTTGCCTTGTTGTCTGTTTCCTGACCTTCTGCCTGTGTTTATTGGATTACCCCTCTTGTCAAGCCCTCTGGATTCTGTTCGCTGATCGTAGACCCACGCTAGCCCAAGGAATATTCTTTGTCTTGCCTGTGCCATACCTGTTTGCTGTTGTTCGACCCTGCCTGTGTTTGACCACTTCTCTTGTGAATAAAAGCTTGCACATGGATCCGCACGCCTCTCATCAGCCCCGTTACAACGCCACTATCGTTAGTGTTAATATAATTTGCTGCCAGTAATGGAGGATGAAAAGATTGTTCCAGTTTCGGTGTACAAAGCTGAAGTGTTGCGTCATTTGGGCTTTTGTGGTACCGTCCACCCCGGGACCGCGGCGCGGGTGGCGCCATTCCGGTTCGCGAACGAATCGTTCTATTTAACTGGATCTTCTTAGTGAACCAATCGAACCAGTTCACTAAATCGAACTGAATCGTTTGCAACGGTTCGCGTCTCCAGTACGCACCAATCCACAAGTTACTTGAGTTATTCGGTTTATAAACGTGCCTGACTCTCCCTCTGACGCGAAATAAACCAATATCTCGAGTTATTCAGTTACTCCTAACAGGACATTGACTGAACTGCTGTGAAAAGAGAACCGATGATGGGATGTGCACGAGCAGAGAAGCTGGACTGAGCATGAGTGCAGCGAATGTACACGCCGACTGCTTGCGGTTCTCGTTCTCGAGTCAAGAACCGGTTGCATCGGTTTTCGGATCACCGGTTCACTCGACTGAGAACCGGTTTCTTTCAGACATGTCCGATTTGAGAACCGATGAGCTGATGATACTGCGCGTGCGTGTAATTTTTACTTGAGTTATTCGGTTTATAAACGTGCCTGACTCTCCCTCTGACGCGAAATAAACCAATATCTCGAGTTATTCAGTTACTCCTAACAGGACATTGACTGAACTGCTGTGAAAAGAGAACCGATGATGGGATGTGCACGAGCAGAGAAGCTGGACTGAGCATGAGCGCAGCGAATGTACACGCCGACTGCTTGCGGTTCTCGTTCTCGAGTCAAGAACCGGTTGCATCGGTTTTCGGATCACCGGTTCACTCAACTGAGAACCGGTTTCTTTCAGACATGTCCGATTTGAGAAGCGATGAGCTGATGATACTGCGCGTGCGTGTAATTTTTAAAGAATACAAAAAAAAGCATGTTATTCAAGTATTTTGCTGAACATCAGAAAGTGTGATGATACAAATCATATTGAAAATTATGATTATGAATTACTGTCACTGTATGAGGATGTGTTTGCTCGACTGCATTACAGTTTTTGAAACAACTGATGGAGCAAATTAAAGCATTACTCATTTATTTTTAAAAGATGAATGTATGTGTGTTAAGGACCTTAATAAGATTAATGAAATACCTGTACAGTAATTATAGATGATGACACATTCACAAATTGAGTGTGTTAAATAGAACCGATGATGAGCACGAGTAGAGCAGCTGATATACTGAACGCGCGTGCAGTGTGCCGGTTAGAACGGTTCTCGTTCTCGAGTCAAGAACCGGTTGCATCGGTTTTCGGATCACCGGTTCACTCGACTGAGAACCGGTTTCTTTCGGACACGTCCAATTTGAGAACCGATGAGCTGATGATACTGCGCATGCGTGTAATTTCAAGAGGACGAAAAGCATGTTATTCAAGTATTTTGCTGAACATCAGAAAGTGTGACAGTATAAAACATATTGAAACTTATGTTTATGTTTGTTCAGTTGATGATTCTGTTAGGTTATAGGCTGAAGGGGTTTTTATGATCTCGGTCAGGGATGTTGGACCATAATAATTAAGACTCTGTTTAATAGGAGCAAGGGATGATTTATGAAATATTTGTACTACTGTAGTTATAGTGTAATGATGACACATTCACAAATTGAGTTTGTATTAAATAGAACCGATGATGAGCACGAGCAGAGCAGCTGATATACTTAACGTGCCTGCAGCGTGCCCGTTTGAGCGGTTCTCGTTCTCGAGTCAAAAACCGGTTGCAACAGTTTTCGGATCACCAGTACACTGAAACGAGAACTGTTCCTTTCGGACACGTCCGATTTGAGAAACGATGAGCAGATGATACTGCGCATGCGTGATTCAGCGTGAAGCTGCTGAACATGACATTTTTCCTCCAGTAAAAACAATAAATATCATACCAGGGCTGTATATTAACTTTTTTTGCATATAGCTGTCACGGTCAAGGTGTGTGGAGGCAGGCAGGATGATGAGGACGACAAGGATTCAAATAAGGACATTTAATGTAGCGACAACAAGGCAGACGAGACATACACACTCAGGGTAACATTCACAATAACCGACCGTGACACTAGAATACAAGAGACAGGAACTTATAGGGCAGATAACGAGGGGCAGACAGGTGAACTCAATGAGGGTAATTAACTAATGATTAGACGGCTAAACCAACACAAGGGGAAGAAACCACAACAAACAGTCCACAGGGGTGTTACAATAGCACTGGTGCTACAGACACTGAATGTTTTTACATTAATGTTCTGTACAGGGCACACTGGTGCTGCAGACTGTACAGGGCACACTGGTGCTGCAGATACATTAATGTTCTATACAGGGCACACTGGTGCTACAGACACTGAATGTTTTTACATTAATGTTCTGTACAGGGCACACTGGTGCTGCAGACACTGGATGTTTTTAAAATAATGTTCTGTACAGGGCACACTGGAGCTACAGACACTGAATGTTTTTACATTAATATTGTGTACAGGGCACACTGGTGCTGCAGACACTGAATGTTTTTACAATAATGTTCTGTACAGGGCACACTGGTGCTGCAGACACTGAATTGTTCTGTACAGGGCAATTATTAATAAATTTAAAAACAAACACCAGGTTTGCTGTACTTGTAGGGCCGCACAATTTGGCCAAAAATGTTGTTTTTATATATCAATAAAACTAATAATGATTATGGTTATAATTTCTAAATAAAAACATTAAACAAATTAAGGAAAATTACTTTTGCTTAACTCAAATTAGGGTTTTGTGAGCAATAATGAGTACTCAATTAATGTAATTTCTTTTTCATTCATACTCAACGCCAGAGGGTGCCCTCGCGCAGAAACTCCACAAGTGAGACTCACTGATGACATTCCAGGTAATTCAGCTTTCGCTGTAGATGTAGCCTAGTAGCTGAATAACATGCAGATAGACGTTTTACTAGACGTTTTACTGATTAAACATGAAGAAAATAAACAATGACTGATGATCTGTTTAAATGAAGATATCTCCAAATACATTCTCACTAGTTATTTATGAGGTTGAAGATATCACCAAATGAACAGGGAGTCGTAGTTATTCTGTTTTTGACATCATCTTTTAATTTCTGACTAGTAATTATTGCCTATATAACACCCACTCAGATCCTGTTCAAACTGCCGAGTATTGTTTAAGCGTTGATGCTGTTTAACGTAGCTACTTTACAGTTCCCTGTCCTTGTTTTAGTTCTAGTTCTAGTTTCCATAGTCTAGTCTAAGTCTTGCCTTGCCTGTTTTATCCTGTTCTGATCTTCTGCCTGTGTATCTTGGATTAACCCTTTGCCTTGCTGTTTCGGACTGTGTTCGCACCTCGCCTGGATTATTGCTCATGTGATTTGATTACCCCTCTTGTCAAGCCCTTTTGGATTATGTTCACCGTTAATCTACCTACGCCTGTTTATCGAATTACTCTTGTGTCTTGCCCTCAATATACCTGTTGCCATTGTCTGACCCAAGCCTGTTTTGACCACGTTCTATGAGTAAAGCTTTGCAGATGGATCAACTCGTCTATCGTCCCTGTCGCCTCGTTACACTAGTAAGCATTCATTAAATACTAGTACTTATTTTTTAGATACTGGTACTTATTCATTAGATACTAGTACCTATTTAATAGATACTAGTAGTTATTCATTAGGTACTAGTACTTATTTTTTAGATACTGGTACTTATTCATTAGATACTAGTACCTATTTAATAGATACTAGTAGTTATTCATTAGGTACTAGTACTTATTTATTAGAAATTAGTACTCATTCATTAGATACTAGTACCAATTAAATAGATACTTGTACTTAATAGATACTAGTACACATTTATTAGATACTAGTAGTTATTCATTAGGTACTAGTACTTATTTTTTAGACACTAGTATATTTTAGTAGCTTTTTAAGTATCTTTTCACTAGAAGCTTTTTTAGTTGTCTTATGTTATAACTAGTCCAAATGGCTACAGTAGAGTTCAATAAAAACATTTACTAGTAAAATAAAAAATCATACTAGTAACATTTCGTTCTAGTACTAGTCTCTAATAAATGTGTACTAGTATCTATTGAATAAGTACTAGTATATATTTAATAGGTACTATTATCTAATGAATGAGTACTCATTTCTAATAAATAAGCACTAGTACCTAATGAATAAGTACTAGTATCTATTTAATAGGTACTATTATCTAATGAATGAGTACTAGTTTCTAATAAATAAGCACTAGTACCTAATGAATAAGTACTAGTATCTATTTAATAGGTACTATTATCTAATGAATGAGTACTAGTTTCTAATAAATAAGCACTAGTACCTAATGAATAACTACTAGTACATAAAAATTAAGTTCTAGTCACTAGAGGAATACATACTAATCAAAACTGAATAGTTGATATCTCAATGATGGATCCCCATAGAAGTCAATGGCAAAAATTGAAATTTTGTTACTAGTAACAATATAATAGTTACTAGTCACTATTGAAATAAGTACTAGTATCTATTGAATAAGTACTAGTATTTAATTAATAAATCCTAGTATCTAATAAATAAGTACTAGTATTTAATCAATAAGTACTAGTAGCTAATGAATAAGTACTAGTAGCTAATAAATAAGTACTAGTATCTAATGAATAAGTACTAGTACCCAATAAAAAAGCACTAGTACCTAATGAATAAGTACTAGTAGCTAATAAATAAGTACTAGTATCTAATGAATAAGTACTAGTACCCAATAAAAAAGCACTAGTACCTAATGAATAAGTACTAGTAGCTAATAAATAAGTACTAGTATCTAATGAATAAGTACTAGTAACTTTACAAAAAACACTAGTACCTAAAGAATAAGCACAAGTACTTAATGGAAAAGATACTAGTATCTAAAAAAATAAGTACTAGTAACGTTAAATTAGATATTAGTGCAGTTTATTGATTAAATGTTAAAACGGCTTGCCATACCGGTTCAGTCTCTCCACGCCAATTACTGGAACCAGACACAGGTGTTCGTCATTTGCATTTGACCCACTTACTCATCGCTTGTCTCCCAACTCTCTCTCCCGCTGCAGACCTCGCTGAACCACGCCCCCCTCGCCAACCGGTTCATTGAAACGAACTGTCCGAAAGAACCGGTTCGCGGAAAAGAATCTAACTTCCCATCACTAGTCCCGTGTGAAGAGCCTTCGCACGGGGCGCGGTGGGCGGTAGGGTCGCCGCGGCCGCGTGGCTGCAGCTTTCTCTCGTGGTGGGGGCGTTTTGTGCAGTTGGGGCAGTGCTCGCGTCGTGGTCTCGGTGATTCCACGCAGAGCATAAATACAAATTGAAAAACCTGTGAAATCCAAGTTGAAAGGTTCTGAGAATGTTTAACATCTGTATTTATTTTATTGTTTTACAATTGTTTTGTGTTCTTTAGGAATCCTGCAAGAACTATATTTTGCATTGATATTAAGCAGATGTAATTTTTTGTTCAGATCAAAATGTTATGACATTGTATGTCACAATTGTAAACTTAAACTGTGAACCTTTAAAGCAGGGTCTAAAAATATATATTTTCTTTTTATAAAATACATTTTATACATATACATTTAACTAAAATGCGGTGCCCGGGAGCTGACATGGTCGGTTCACTTAGTTTTGTTGTGGCCACCCCTGCTGAAAACAACATCTAAAACCAGCCTAAGCTGGTCAGGCTGGTTTTAGCTGGTCTCCCAGCCTGGTCATAGCTGGTTTATCAGGCTGGTTTTAGAGGTGTTTTGACCACTTTTTTAGCTGGTCAGGCTGGTTTAAGCTGTTTTTTTTTTCAGCAGGGACGACATAACTCGTGGGAACGTGATAATATGTCGTGGCCATGAGATATTAATTTGTGGGAACGTCATATTAACTCGTGGGAACGTGATATCATGTCGTCGAGATACCTCGAGATGCTATGTTGAGGGAACTACATCCATTTCTTGTGGCCACGACTTCTTATGTTGAGGGAACAACATATTTTTCTCGTGGTCACGAGTTTAATGTGTAAACAAACCTGCGTGACCATAGCAACCCGGGATTATCAGAGATTAATTCATTAATATTTTATTTTGAATTAAGAAGTTATTATATTATTTATTATAGAAATTATTGCATTATTAAATTATTTTAATAGCCATAGGCCTTGGCTACCGGACTGTATTACGTGCGATTCAATTGAAGTTTATCATGAATAAATGTTACATAAAGTCCATAATATAAAATAGGCCTACAAGTCCTTAGCTGGTCATGTGCTGGTCCTAAGCTGGTCCGGCTTCAAAACATACCTAACCAGCATATGCTGTTTTTTTCAACAGGGTAAACAATATTTATTTATATATTTATTTATTTATTGCTAAGGTTTGCATATGGTGGTGTGTATCGCAATGTATCATATCGCAACCCCTGTATCGTGATACGTATCGTATCGCCAGATTCTTGCCAATACACAGCCCTACACAGAACTAAGGTCTACAGTATTTTTTTCAGGGCATTCAAATATAGTGCAATTATAGTTATTTTGTATAACTGTTTTCATATATATTTACGGGTAGATTATCTCTTTATACCATCTATTATATTTTTAATGTGACTATTGATTGTGTTTATAACGTTGAATTAAATAAAGCTTACTGATTTCACTTTAATCAATAGGTTAAAATTTATCATTTAATTGCGTAGGTTAGATAATGTTTTATTTGCATAATGGTAATAAAGCCATCAGATTGTTTGGTAAAATGTAACTTTCAGTGGTGAGATCATATTTCTGAAATTAGCGTGAAAAACTATGAAGATTACAGTTTGATCCAGAGTTTTCATTCTTTGTGTGTGTCAGAATATAGTTTTTGGACCTTTTGTTGCAATACATTTTAACTGTACAATACTGTTACGACACAGTAGAAACTTTGTGATATGAAAATAGGAATGGAATTAGTATGTGGTGGAGGTACCGCTGTCCAAACTTGAGAGTGTACATGGTCTCGCTTTTGTTGAGGCTGCTGGGGGAGCAGCAGATTAATATGGTTGTCCGGCAGTTTCCTCCCAGACAATACTGTAGAACTCTGGTCAGCTTACTGTCACGGTACGGTATGTGAGTTTTCTGCTCAAACACACAAAAAAATAAATAAAAAATATCAGTGTAACAAAAATGCATATTTATGTTTGTATAAGCATGTGTATATTTGTGTCTGTGCACTTACAGTTTGTCCAGTGAGAGCAGAGACAACATTGCAGAGAGCAGACAGAGACTTATTAATGTTTTTAGCTTCATCCAGAACATTTCCAACTGCACCTGTCTTACTGACCTACAAATGAAAGCAAGCTTCATAAATATGTTTGATTTTCCCTAATTGCTTTTTAGCCGACTTTAATTATTATCATTTAATATTGCATATTAATTCAGTACACCGTAAACTATATTTAACAATTAGTCATGCAACAATGTTAAATTAATATTTAGTTAATTTTTGTAAAAACTACTTTACTTAAAAATCAAACAAATAGGGGTTTCATTTATATGTGGACTAGATTTTGATATCAGAACTGCAGAAATTGCAAACAATATAAAATTAATTAAAAAAAGAACACAAATTATATAATATTTAATTTAAAAGTGTCTTGAGGGAAAAAAAAAAAGAAAGAAAGAGTGCTGCATGCATTTTATAGGAGAGCTTCTAGAATGATGTGCTTGTTTGATTGTTTGTTCGTTTTTAATATGACAACAAAAACACAAAAGACCTTCTCACTGCCAGCCAGATCCACCAGGCAGAGTTTCCCAGAGAGTTTATGCTCCCCATGCTCCTGCGAAATGACGATCTGGAAAATGCTATGGCTGCGAGAGCTGTACTCATTCATATCTGGCAACAGAACAAAATCTCATTTACTGCTCATCCACACAACTAAGGCAAGATCTTCTCATTTGCTGCTTAGACTAAGGTTGGTGTCATGGGTGATATAGGCTATATACTGATCCTCACATAAAAATATTGATTCTGAATATTTTAACTAGTAATTTTCTTATTTATTGTGAAAATGAATGCACACAAAAAAACTTACTGGGGAAAAAAGACAAACATCACAATATTACTATATACAACACACTATATTAAAAGCACAGCTGAATGTGAACTTTATTATAATGGGTTTTGAAGATTGTTTTAAATTGAAAAAAAATAAATAAATCTAACCCCCCACCCCAAGCCCTGTGTGAATTGTTGCTCCAAGTTGACCTGAAAAGTTGGCAGTCCAGCATGATGACACACATGTTAAGCACTACCTGTAAGATCACCATTGATCTGTGCTTTAGTAAGGTGACTGAATTGTCAAACTAAGATGAGGTTGTCTTTAAGAGAAGCTACTGGTTAGCATACTTCCATTTTTAAATAAAATAAATAAATAACATGAACTGATGTGAGTAAATGACAGTAAATTTGAAAATGCTAAAAGCACTCACTGGTGCCAGCAACATGCCGTTTGGACTTTCCTTCATTAATGATATTAGTGATTTCCTCAGGACTGGACACAAACCGTTCAGTGCAGCCCTGACACACAGCAAGAATAATTCTGTTTTATTATGATAATATATAGTTATCACGCATACAGTATTATCACAATATGGGTGGCTGGTGGATGTGAAATATCACCTTTACATAAGGGACGTGGTTCTCATCTTCATGCACGCACAGATTGGTCTTTGTGACTAAAGAGGAAAGAAGCACAAATGAATAATTAATTAATGGAACTCCAGATACTGTAGGCTGATAAGTCCTTTACATGCAATCTGATAACAATCACTTTATTTAGTATGTGGCAAAATCTGATTGGCCAGCATTTAAATAGTCTGGTGCAGTGATGTGTGGTGTGCAGTGTCTGGTCCTGCAGCCTACTATCAGAGTTCCCTTGAAACCCTCCACCTCCTCCAGCTCCACATTATAGATTTGCTTCAGGAATTTTATACATGCCTATCTGTGCAGCAGCATGTCTTAAGGGCACTTCACACCGCACTGACAAATGCAGCACACCAGTCAGTCACCAGATTACAGTATGTCACTTCTCAAACATTTTAAAACCCAACAACCACCAATTCAACAATTCAATTCAAAACTGAGCCGGACGATTTGGTCAGTCGCACTTTTAAACACATTTTAGTTTTGCTATAGAAAATCGACAAATTCACACTCTGATTACATAGAGCAACAGCAGGAAGCAAGGTTGTCATGGCAACCAGATACACTGCACGCAAATTACAGCTGCGCTTCTATTTTGCCACACTAAACTTAGCAATAAACACGTTGAAAATAATACACAATAAACATGTCGGTCAAAACGATCTCAAAGGAGGCTTTTATTAAGCAAATCAAGGAGTGAATTACTCATCCACTGTTTAAAAAAAAATACTTTAGCTGGGTTTCCACAGGCAGGGTCACAATTATCTATAGTGTATGAAGCTAAAGGTTTTTGGGTTAAGGTTCATAATGTAGAACATTTTAACATTGTATGCTGTATGTGCATAGGTAGCTAGCAATCAAGGAATACAGCTGTTAAGCTAATAGTTACATTTAGCTGAGTAAGATCATGATTGAGAAATGTTGGATACTTCTGGAAATGCTGCTATGGGGTATCCTATTTATTATTTTAGGATTTTTTTGTTTGTTTGCCCCAGTGAAGCAGTTCTATTAATATAACTGATTAAGTAGTCAAACTCATTCCATATCAGCAGAATGGTGTGGTACAGAAAGTATATGTCCATAGAACAGGTTCTGAATGAATTATGTTACTGATACCTAATGCTCAAAAGCAATAGCAAAAGTAGGCTAATAGGTCAGTATTATCAAAGACTATAGAATACCCAAGACGTGTCCCTCGTATAGTTTTGAATGGGGAAAACTGCAACGCTCAATATGGCCACTCAATCGCAGGAATGAAAGAACCTTCTGAATGAAAGAGCCAATTAGAAGCGTCCCGGTTGCTATAGAAACAGTCAGCGCTCTGAGACGTGCGCTCAGGACTGCGCATGCGCACTGGCTGATCTAGCCTGAAAAATAAGCTTTTTATAATGCTATTAGAGCAAAAGTAACAACATTTATGACACAGTTGTTGTCAGATGTCTTTGGTGATTTCAAATATGAAATTTAATCGTTAGCTTAGTGAACAGTTTTGGAGAATTTGATGTTTCCCCATTCAAAGAGATAGGAGTTGCACTTGCCGAGAGGCATTTAAAAGATGGCCGCCGAGTGACATGACTTGTCTTAAAAGGACTTTGGTATTATTAAATTGCAGACAAAGGATTTTGAATAGCTAGGTTGGTTTGTACACTATATTGCCAAATGTATTGGGACACCCCCTTCTAATGAACAGGTTTGACTACTTTAGTAATTTCCATGAGTACAAATCTTAAAGGGGTCATATGATGTTGCTAAAAAGAACATTATTTTGTGTATTTGGTGTAATGAAATGTGTTTATGCGGTTTAAGGTTAAAAAACACATTATTTTCCACATACTGTACATTATTGTTTCTCCTATATGCCCCGTCTTTCTGAAACGCGTCGATTTTTACAAAGCTCATCGGTCTGAAAAGCGAGGTGTGCTCTGATTGGCCAGCTATCCAGTGTGTTGGGAGGCTTTTATTAAGCAAATCAATGAGTGAATTACTCATCCACTGTTTAAAAAAAATACTTTAGCTGGGTTTCCACAGGCAGGGTCACAATTATCTACAGTGTATGAACCTAAAGGTTTTTGGGTTAAGGTTCATAATGTAGAACATTTTAACATTGTATGCTGTATGTGCATAGGTAGCTAGCAATCAAGGAATACAGCTGTTAAGCTAATAGTTACATTTAGCTGAGTAAGATCATGATTGAGAAATGTTGGATACTTCTGGAAATGCTGCTATGGGGTATCCTATTTATTATTTTAGGATTTTTTTGTTTGTTTGCCCCAGTGAAGCAGTTCTATTAATATAACTGATTAAGTAGTCAAACTCATTCCATATCAGCAGAATAGTGTGGTACAGAAAGTATATGTCCATAGAACAGGTTCTGAATGAATTATGTTACTGATACCTAATGCTCAAAAGCAATAGCAAAAGAAGGCTAATAGGTCAGTATTATCAAAGACTATAGAATACCCAAGACGTGTCCCTCGTATAGTTTTGAATGGGGAAAACTGCAACGCTCAATATGGCCACTCAATCGCAGGAATGAAAGAACCTTCTGAATGAAAGAGCCAATTAGAAGCGTCCCGGTTGCTATAGAAACAGTCAGTGTGGTTGACTCTGCAAAGTTGACCGCTTCGGCTCGCAGGCGACGTACTACGCAAGTTATCAACATCACCATGGCTAAGGTAGGAAATTCACAACCTTCTACTTGCCTCCTGCACTTTCTTGGGTTCAAAAAAGGTTGTGTTGGCTCTTGTAAAGTAAGTCCCACCTTCCAAAGCAAAGAGCCAATGGTTAATGCTCTTTGAGCATAAGAAACAACATTTATGAGACAGTTGTTGTCAGATTTCTTTGGTGATTTCAAATATGAAATTTAATCGTTAGCTTAGTGAACAGTTTTGGAGAATTTGATGTTTCCCCATTCAAAGAGATAGGAGTTGCACTTGCCGAGAGGCATTTAAAAGATGGCCGCCGAGTGACATGACTTGTCTTAAAAGGACTTTGGTATTATTAAATTGCAGACAAAGGATTTTGAATAGCTAGGTTGGTTTGTACACTATATTGCCAAATGTATTGGGACACCCCCTTCTAATGAACAGGTTTGACTACTTTAGTAATTTCCATGAGTACAAATCTTAATGTTTAAGCATATAATTATATTCTAGGGAATTGTGTGCTTCTAATTTTATACCAATAGTTTGAACAGGACCCTTTTCTATTCT